TGTGTGTGTGTGTGTGTGTGTGTGTGTGTGTGCGCGCGTCAAAATAGATGTATATGCGTCAAAATAAATGTGTGGTGCGTCAAAATAAATGTGTGTGCGTCAAAATAAATGTGTGTGCGTCAAAATAAATGTGTAGAGCGTCAAAATAGATGTGTGTGCTGTGTTCCTCGGTTCTGGCACAAAGTGGAGCCAGAGCCCTGTCGTTCTAAAGACGCTACACGCAGCTCTGTGTACCCCCCAGGCTCTCCATATCTCCCACATTTCCTCAAAGCTTTGACGTCCATCAGAAACTGTCTAGTAATTACAGAAAAAACAGCAAAAAACATCCCACCCCAAAAAATACCCCCCCCCCCCGAAATCTCTGCAGCTTTTGTCAACAAACACAGAAACTCTCGAGTTGGCCGGCTCAGATCTGGCGTGGCTAAAGGGAGGGGGTGGGGGTTAGGTGGGGAGGGGTAGAGAAGCTGACAGGCGCTTTGAGAGCGTTCCTAAATCTCTCCACCAGATTTCGAGTGGTGTTGCACCGCGTGTCGACACAGGGTGCGCGTGCGTTTTTGAACTCACACACATCTGTAAGATCAGAACTGAAGAGGGTGCATATCCATTCTCTTCCTTTCCCTTCTTTCCCCAGCAGGGCCCTTCTCTATGTTGACCCGCTAAATTGGTCTTGTTTGGACAGCGCCGACGGCGGTTTTATTCGATTATTTTTTTCAAAGAGCCCACCTCCAATCTGTGATGTCATCGCCAGGCTTTGTGCAGCTCCACTGGCCAGGTTCAGCGGTCAGATTTTCCCACCAGTAATGTCTCCGTCCGTCGCTTTTGAATGTGGCGGGCTGCGGGGCATGGAACCACGGAGAGATATAGCTGCTCATGTGTAGCATAGTGAGTGACACACACACAGACAGACACACACACACACACACACACACACACACACACACACGCACACACACACAAGCACTCATCGCTTTGTCATTACTCGGCTTTCAACCTCTGCCAGAACCCCCCCTCATATCCCCTCCCCCTCCTCCTCCTCCTCCTCCCTTCCTTCACACCAC